TAAAACTGAAATTAGGGCATTAAAATAAATTGAATAATATTAAAGTTACTAATGAAGAGTTGTATTTTGAAATACCCAATTAAAATTCCAACACTCCATGCCTGTCAATCTCTTCTGGATATTATTTCAAATGTGCTAGGCAAAGGACCACCCGAAGTGCTTGTCTCGGCAACATACGATGTTGATAACTTAGGGGCATTTGAATGGAAAAAAAATATTGATCCCCTTCTCTTGCTCGGGATCCGCCCCCTCGGAGTACTCTGTGTTGATGGTGCCATACAAGGGTCAGAATGGTTCCGTCGGAGCTGGAAGATTGATCGGAGATTGTGATGGTCTGTAGTTGGGTTAGGGGTTATATTCCTAATGAAGGGATTCGTGAAACATGTGATTTGCAATAGGGTAGATCTGTTGTGGCATTGGGGATTGTTTAAAGACTATAACTTAGGTTCTGTTGGTTCACGCAATAGAAGGGAAAAGGGATCAAATCCTATTTTTCCTGAGCGATCTGAATGTATTCTTCCCATTATTATGCTTGGTGAAGTTATGGTTGAGAATGAGATTGACATTGTATAATTTTTTAAACAAGGATCTTACAACTAATCAAAATCACATGACATATTGATGAGATATTGATGTTAGATCGATAAAATTCCGAAAAAGTGATTTTAGTAAGACTTTTCTTTATTAGCACCTACATAATGTTGAATACACCCCATCAAAATTTAATATTAAATTAGTTATGTGCCCTACTATTTAATAACAATTTCGACCTAATTAGGTTTTAAAAAAAATAAGAAATTTTTAAATATACCCCAAATCACTTTTAATGTATAATTTATCTTCTCAACTCTCAAAATCCCTCCCACCCTCCATCATAGAACAAAACCCCAACCAAAAATTTTGGTTAATAAAATTATTTTTGATGAATGGAACACGAAATGATGTTTGGAAAATTGCCAACTTAGAACTTGAACGGAGTGCGAAGAAATTAACGATACTTCTTTGTGTATGTCGTCAGACGACATTAACCCCAATTTATGACATGAGAATAGTAATAAAATGGCTAAACGTAATTTCTGTTCTGCAATTCAACACGAATAAATAAACGTGTTTATTTTTCAAACGTTTGAAAATGCATCAACATTCGCTACGTTTTGCCAATCTGGGTGAAGTCCTAGTGCCATTTACATTACCACAGACCTTCTGATTGTTCTCCCTTCCATTGCTGCTTTTACCCTATGAATTCTTGTCCTTAAACCTCAACTCATTTACCTCCTCTACCACCTTCAACATAGTCTCAGCAGCCTCATCATCCTTCGATCTTGATTGTGATTGAGTATTATAAGATGTGAAGAATGTGGGATGTATAGAAAATGTGAGGTGTATGTAGAAAATGTGAAGTGTGTGTAGAAAAATGTAAGATCTATGTTGAGCACGTGAGGTGTGAAGGTATTATGAGAAAGTATGTGGGGTGTATTAAGATAATTTTTAATTGAAAAAAAAGTGAGGTGTATTAATTATGTAGGTTTATTCAACAATATGTGGGTTTTTTTTTCATCATTTTAGCCGATTCCTCATTTTTATTTGAAACATTATCTAAAATTAAAACGATCATTTTATGGCCATTTGTAGTAACAATCATTTTGGACGTCCCATTTTTGTCTCTTTATTTTGGATATCCTAGTGGATAAGATGTTAGGTTTCTACATATGCATCCCGGGTTCAAACTTCTCTTCCTCTAAATTATTATAATAGTTTGGAACCCTCCCTTTCTCCTTAATAATAATAATTTGTTAAAAAAATGGTGTTACTCAAAGGAACCTTTGCTTCACGTACAATCCACATTGAGAATATTAATGACATATCAGTTAAATACTAAAACAACAATAAAGATTGAGAGATGTGGTTTGCTTGTGCCCCTGAGTTTGAATTTTCCTTCTCAGATTTGAATTAGATTAAACTATAATACTACACGTATAAAGGAAGATATAATTCCCTAGTTAATTGATTCAAATAATTTTTTTCCTCCAATTGTTTTGTCTTTAAGACTTGATGTTGAGATTGGTCCAGAACAAATGTGGGGACAAACAAAACACCATCAAATTAAGAGTGCCGATCATATGATATATCAGTAGTTGGAACAACGACAAGGACTTGAGTGCCTTTCTGGTGGTGACGTTTCAATACAGAAAACAAGAGTGAAGAGCAATCAATAAAGACGATTTTTCTTGAGTGCAGCCTGGGTTTCTGAGGTACCTTTTTCTGCAACTCACTGTCAGTGAATCGCTTATCTGGAATTTATGCCGTATCTCTTTCTTGCGCACCAAGACATACATAATGCACGTGTCTACTTCTGCGGAAGAAGTTAAACAAACTGCATCGTATCCACAGTTAGTACAAACAGGAAATGCATCTGGTTCTCACAATGGAGGTTCAAACTCATCTAATGGAGGGTCTCAAACTAGTACTCCTAGTTCTACACCAGTGAAATTGAGAAATTTGGACGATATATATGCTAGATGTTACATGTGTATTGTAGAACTAGAAAACTACACAGAGGCTGCAATGAAGCTTAGCGGAAAGCAATGGAAAATGAAATTTACATGATTGAGAAGAATGAAACATGGGAATTAGTTGATAGACCAACTGAGAAACCAGTTGTTGGTGTTAAATGGGCCTACAAGACCAAGTTGAAATTGGAAGGATCTGTACAAAAGCACAAGGCAAGACTTATGACAAAATGCTATTCATAGAAGCTTGGATTAATTGGACTTCAATGACACATTTACTCCTGTTGCAAGATTGGATAGAGTAAGAACCACATTTACTTTAGCAGAGCAAAAGAGGTGAAAATTGTTTCAAATTCGATGTGAAATCCATTTTCTTGAATGGGGTACCTAGGAAGAGGTTTATGTTGATCAACCTGAGGGATTTGTGATTCCAAATACAGAAAGCAAGGTTTACAAATTAAGAAAGGCTCTATATGGCTTGAAACAAGTAGCTAAAACTTGGTATGAGGAAATCGATTCCCATCTCAGCAAATGTGGCTTTCACAGAAGAAGTTCAAGTAAAGCAACATTGTTATGCTCATAAATTCGCTATTATATACATAATAATTGTCTTTGTTTACACCTTTGTTTTACTCTTTTATATAGGTTTTACATTATATTTATGTTGTGTAGGTTGTAACAAGCAAAGACTGGAAAAGAAGCTAAAAACGGGTTTGTAATTCCATGTCGTCAGCATAGCCTTTGCAGATTAGTCGAATTATTGGATTACTGTATTGACTCGGGAAGAAACAGAAGATGTGACATATATGCTTGGAAAGTTACGGATGTCCATTTTCCATAGAATTTTATGGTTCATGAATATCATTTTCTAGAGGGAGTTATGGCAGTTTTAGTACATGAAGGTCAAACAACGCACGAATCTAAAGCTATCTACAATTAAGTTTCAATGTGGCAGATTATAATTTTAACTAGTTAGAAGCCAAAAGGTCTGAAAACAAATAAATAAGTATTTTTCATATAATGGGAACATAATGAGACTTCAAAGCTCATTAGGCCCTCTCCAACCGAAGGGTCCAGAGGGCCAGAGGGCCGAAAATAGCCTGATAACTGTATCCAACCAAGGGCTAGGCCAAAGGGTTAACCGGCTGGCCCAACCCAGCCAGCCCTGGGGCGGGCTAGATTTTGAATGCAACGATAACATGTTGGCATCAACTAGCCGTTATAATTGAATTATTTTTTTTTGGGCCAATTTTTTTTAAAAAATATTTAATTATAGGCCGAGAAAGGTGATTTGTTCAATGTTGGGCTGTTCCTTGCTTGCTCATTAATCTCCGACGGCCGATGTGGGACAAATATAATGGGTGCCCCAAATATAAGCTTTTGCTTGCTCAATTCTCTCCCCCGACCAATGTGGGACAAATATAATGGGTACCCCAAATGTAGCCTTCCTATTAGAGATGGTAAATGTGCATTTATACATGTAACTATCTCAAACTAAGTTGTACTAGTAATTGGACACTTAAATTAAAAATTAATTTAACATATAACTGTTAATCGCCGCAAGTAGACATGAAAGTAGCGCCAATTACTACGAGGAAGTAAGTGTTTTCACAATTTATTAAATATTTAATTATATTATGTTTGTACCATACTTTGGGCCTCCGTATTTAGACCTCATATAAATACTCAGGGGATTCAAATGTAATTATGTAATAAATGAAGGGGAAAATATGTAAAAAGGGGAGGAGCCCTTAGTCTATAAAAGGGCCTCCTCACCCTCACAATAAGGAAGGCTCTGACCCTCAAGGCCTCCTCTCACAAACAGAGAAATACAATATCAATGTGGACGTAGCCCAAACATTGGAGTGAACCACGATACATCTTGTGTTCTTTACTTTCTTGCAGATTCATGGTCGGATTTACGTTGTTCCAAGACCTCCGGTTTTGTGCATCAACATTTGGTGCCGTCTGTGGGAAATGACACGAAAAGCTATGTCGGTTCTCTCTCAATTTTTCATCTCACCACCGTGAATCTGCAGAAACCTAACACCCATACTCAGAGACACACACATTCAATCTACAGAAAGAAAGAGAAACTCAAGTGCATCTCTCTTGAATCAGCTGACCAATAGTCTCAAATCCCACAAGCAAATCACAGAGACAGACAACACAACCAATTAGGCATTGACCTCCAACTGATCTCAGCCATCTATCAGATCTGAGACTCTGATCCTTTCCAAGCTGAATGGTGCCCTCGGAGAGCTGGACATCAAACTACGCCAACTTCTTATTCAACAGGAACTTACATACTCTCTTCACGGCCCACCGCGAGAACATCGCCTCCACCGACTTCGCAATTTTCCACGAAAACACACCCACCTGAGAGCTAAACGGCCATTTTTCGACGTTGGAATTAAGATTTCGATTAGAGTCCAAAGCCACAGGTTTCTAGGTTTTCTTTGATTGCAATGGAACTCTCCACTTTCAGCCATGGCGTCGTCTCCTCGGTTGCGTGTAAATCAGGTCTACTCCAAGATCCACGTGGCCAACAAGTTTGCCTTCCGCCACCCTCGCGTCTGGCTCTGCGAGGTTTGCGAACAAGCTCCAGCTCACGTCACCTACAAGGCCGACGACGCCACCCTCTGCGTCACTTATGACAGCGACATCTACTTCACTTACCGCTACCGTCTCACCCTCACTGCCGACTCACCCTCACTGCAGACTTCTGAGAGCTCCTCACCGGCTAAAGCTCCGGTCAGCTCTCCATCGACTAAATCTCCTCCGGCAGCAGCCCCTACAAACAAATTAGGTAGGACATGTAGTGATGCATGTGTAGAGAAATAAGGATGCAGACAGATAGATAACCAGGGTTTTCTCCTGCTTTGTTGCTTAATATCCCTACAAATGGTATATGCTTCTTCATATATGCTGATGAACCACGATGAGTTTTCTTACGATAGACATAGTTTCTGATTGTATCACACCATCCTCATCCCTCCAACTGAATGAGCCAACTATTTGCTTGTGATCGTATCCATGGTAGATGTGGTAAGCAACTGAAGAAAAAGAAGGGGGAGACACAAAGACAGAGAGGACGCGGTGTTGTAATGTTGTCAGCTGTCATTATTTTAATCTGGTGAGTCTGAAGGGTTTAATCAACCACCCATATGGAAAGGCTAGCTATGGGTGTGTTTGCTGTAAAGCAAGCATGCAAATCTGCAAAGGAGCATGCTTTGAAAAATGGACCCATTATGCCTGGAAATGGAGTGGGAAACAAAAGCAAAAGCAGAAAGAAAAGCAGAAAGTAAAAGCAGAAAGCAAAAGCAGAAAGCAAAAGAAGATAAATAGAAGCAGACATAATTGCGGTGGTGATAGCATGCAGAAAAAAGAATTATGGGCGTGACCCATTGAACTGAGGGTCGGATTTATTTTTGAATGATGTGATTTATTTTTCTTATCTTTCGGAGACATCTGTATAAACCCCATCAGAGGGTAATAAAAAAAAAATACGGCAAGCCCAAAATAATAGGCTGGAATGTTATGTAGAGGGCCAATGCCCATATGCCCAAAAAAGCCAGACCCTCTATTATCACCAACCAGGTGATTAAAAGTATGCCCAGTACTCCAAAATTATTCGGCACCCTGCTGCTATTATCACAAACCAGGTGATCAAAAGTACGTCCAGTACTCCAAAATTATTCGGCAGCCTGTCGCTATTATCACCAACCAGGTGATCAAAAGTACGTTTAGTACTCCAAAATTATTCGGCAACCTGCCGCTATTATCACCCACTAGGTGATCAAAAGTATGTCCAGTACTCCAAAATTATACATAAGCATCACACATGTCAATCATACATAAACCTTCATAAGCATCACTCATGTCAACATTCATGAGCATCACTCATGTCAACATCCATGAGCATCACTCATGTCAATCAACATAAACATTCATGAGCATCACTCATGTCAATCAGCTTCGAAAGCTTCATTTACAGAGCTCCAGCTCCGAGAGCCTCAGCTTCAAAAACTTCATTTACAAAAGCTCCAGCTTCAAAGCTTCACTTGCAAAGTTGCACCTACAAAGCTTCAGTGCAGGGTATACAAATACCGCCTCCGAACAACCGCCACTTCGGCCCATACATGGATTCAATTTGAAGTTTCCAGCCAACAGACTTTATTAACTGAAGACTTGGGAGACTACACTATGTACCATATATTAGGCTTCCATAACTGGACCTCATGAAAAATGCTTGGGGGACTTTAGCCCATTATTCATGTACTGAGGAGCGAGCCCTTATTCTATAAAAGGGACTCTCTCACTTTCATTAGAGAGAACCCATCACTTATGTATTGAGGAGCAATCCCTTATTCTATAAAAGGGACTCCCTCACGATCATTAGAGAGCATCGCCGCCTGCTGAGCAACCGCCTTACCGCACATCACTCCTAACCCATTATTCATGTACTGAGGAGTGATCCTTTATTTTATAAAAGGGACTCCCTCACCTTCATTAGAGAGCATTGCTGCCAGCTGAGCAACCGCCTTGTCGTGAGCATAACTCATAACCCATCACTTATGTATTGAGGAGCAAGCCCTTATTCTATAAAAGGGACTCCCTCACCATCATTAGAGAGCATCGCCGCTTGCTGAGCAACCGCCTCGCTGCGAGCATCAACTCTAGCCAATTATTTATGTATTGAGGAGTGAGCCTTTATTCTATAAAAAGGGCCTTCCTCACCTTCAACGCCACAAGCCGAGCCAACTAAGGCAACATAAGCCACAAGCCGAGCAGTCTCGCAACATGTGCTACTTCTAGTTGAGCATCATTTCACATTGAGCACCGCCTCATATTGAGTATTCAGTTTTAGATGACATCTAGTTACTTCGGCCCACACATGGACTGAATTTCAAGTCTGTAGCGAAAATTCTCATTTGACTGAAGACTTGGGGGACTACTGTTTGTACCATACTTAGGGCCTTCGTATTTAGACCTCGTATAAATACTCGGGGGACTCAATTGTAATTATGTCATAAATAAAGGGGCAAATATGTAAAAAGGGGAGGAGCCCTTAGTCTATAAAATGGCCTCCTCACCCTCACAATAAGGAGGGCTTTGACCTTCACAATCCTCTCACAAATAGAGAAATACAATATCAGTGTGGATGTAGCCCAAACATTGGGTGAACCACGATACATCTTGTGTTCTTTACTTTCTTGCAGATTCAAGGTCGGATTTACGTTGTTCCAAGACCTCTCCGGTTTTGTGCATCAACATATTACATTTAATTTGTTGTAGTTTTTGTTTTTAAATTGAAGTTGTTGTATTTTTTAAATTTAAATAATAAATTATGTTTGGCCCTATGACCCTTTGGCCTTCGGTTGAAGATGGTTTTTTTTAATAGGGCTATGTTTGGCCTATGGCCCTCTGGCCCCTCGGTTGAAGATAATAATAAATATGGGTCTGCACTGTTCATTAAAATATTAATTTCTTAGAGGGCCAGATGGCTAAAATGAGCCATCTGGCCCTTCTTTGGTTGGAGATGACCTTAGGAAATAAGAAAATAAGGTTATTCAAGCATTGGGCTATTACAAATGAAAGGGGGTGTTTTATCCCTCTTTAGCGCAACAGTAGGTTAGTGTGCTAAAAAAACTAGAAAAAAAATAAAAAAAGAACAGCCACCAAAGCGGAGGAGGCAGCCACAATAGAAGAGAAAAAGAGGAATGACCAGGGCACCATTCCGCAATTCATCATTGAAGAATTTCTTCTTCTCCTTGTACTTTCTGTTTTGTTTGTCTTCGATGCCTATTTACATTATGAGTAACTAAATTCCTTAGTTGGGACTTGGTTAATTGTAATAACCCATCCCTAATTTATGGTTTTTATAATTTTAAATGTGTGATTTTATGAAAATGTCCCTAGAGCAGAGATTTTTTACTTTCGTTGACTTTTGTGTTGTGTAACGTTTGGTCTACTATATTAGCGTATTCGTGTAATACTTGATGTTACGAATGTGTGGGTGCAAGCGGAATCAAATTCGAAGCTACGAAGAAGGTTTCACGGAATTATGAAACTTGAGGGTGTTTTAGTAAATTTGAAATTTTTGGATATTTTTATCATTTTAATATTTTTCTGGTGGATTTTGTGGCCCGTGGGGCCCACACCCCACCTCCTCTTCTTCCCCATGTCTTCCTCCTCCCAGTACTTTCGGTGACTCTGCCTCATCTATGTGTCTTTCTCTCCTCCCTCCAAGTGTGCACACACACACACACACACACACACACACACACACACACACACACACACACACACACACACTCACTCACTCACTCACTCATACAACCACAAAAACAACAACGACAACCACCATCACCTCCCTCGCATTTCAGCGAAACCCACAAACCCATAAACAACGAGGGGACTTTTCCCCAGTTTTTCCAGCAAGGGATTTCGACTGCTTTCAAGACATTTTTTGACCAAAACCTGATGAGTTAGACATTTATAAAGTAGCACTCTCTTTGTCTCGTTGAGAGGTATGATTTTTGTTTTTGAATCACTCGATTTCGTTGAGTATTGAATAAGTTATATCTATTTGAATCTTACCCAGTTTCGGCAACCTCCGCGACTTTGCAGGCGCTTTCCGGTCATCTTTGGCTACTATTTGGTTTCTTAACATGTATGATCTTGTTCTACTCTTCTCTAGCTTCATTTTGATATATTATGGGTCAAATTTGGTTGAGAAATGAGAGAGATATAGCCATTTGAAGATTGCCCAGATATCCGGCAATTTTCTAAAGATCTGGTGACCGAAATATTCCTTGCGTCGACTTTTAAGAATTTTTTTCAGGAACCCTCCTAGATAAATTTTGACGCCCTGAATCCATTTTTTAGCATTTGTTAGTGAAATTTGGAAGTTTTAACGTAGTTGACTGGCTCGGGGTCTTGGTTGACTTTTTTAGTTGACTTTTTACGAAATTTTCTTGGGATCCCTCTTAGGGTAATTGGATGCCCTAATTCCAAAGCCGCACTCCATTTTCCCAAATTTAATCATTTTAGTTGAGTTTTACTAATGGGTCGCAATATTATGCTTAGGTGTTATTACTATCGGAGACTCCGTCTTTCTTAGTTAGAATGGTTGCAACCTTGTAAGTATCTATGAGTGGACCCCTTCTTAAATTGCACGATTTTAAATGCTAGGATTGCATTCAAGTTTCATGATTTTCTGTTTTACGCATTATTTATGATTTATTAAGTTTACATTTACGAAAGATTTACGAACCATGGCTTTTTACGTTTTAAGATGTATGATGGAATCACGGATATGAATTTATGATGTCACATGATTGATTTATTATGGTTTATGAGATTATGCTTTGAGCTTCGGTGATTTGATACAAGAAATGTGATTTATGTTTTTCGTGCTTACTTAGTGGGTAATCTTACAACACATACACACAACACAAGTATGTATCTGTCTATCACCATAGGACACAGTTGATGAGTAGTGAGATATTATGACATACATCACAGCTTCACTGGCGAAACCAATGTCAGACAGCTTCACTAGCCATGGCTAGTGTCGGTGTTTTATGTTGTATTTCTTGACGTAACTCAGAGTCGTACAGCTTCACCTTCGGGTGATGGGCCTATCATGTTTTTTCACCGGTGTAAACCCAGTGTCGTATAGCTTCATCCTCGAATGATGGTTATGTCTTTGGGTGACTATGATACCCCTAGTTAAGTACATTATTTTATGATTTCGAGCTTTTACAGATTTTGCCTGTGGGCGACTACCATACAATTATTTAAGTAGATGATGATTTGATTTACGAACGTTTTCATGG